ACCAAAGTTCGCAGACCACTCACTGAATAGTTCAAAGATGGCGGCAGGCTCCTTGTAGATTACTTTGTCGTGAAATAAGTAGGGGATGTCCCTCGTCGACTGCATTCGTTTTTTAAGAAGTGTTGTGAGGTTATAAACTTTGAAGGTACTTTTAAGTGCACCTAACTCTCTGTTGAGGTTATTTTGAGAGCGTAGGCGTTCGATAGATTCCGGTGACTCGTGGATTGAGTGCAATAGTGATATATCCTTAGTGGAATAGTACAGTTTCAATAGCTTCCACAACTTAATGCGGTATGCTCTTGGAATGTTTTCAGCTTGATGTCTACTTAATTTCACTATTCTCTTGGGGGCAACAGTATCTAGAAAAAAGGTAATATTCATGTAAAATAGGAACTCGGAACCCAAAGCAATAATAATAAGGCTCCCTCAAGTCCACTCCCACATTTTTCCGCACTGTGAATACGGCCTTTTCAAAGTGCATTAAAAAAATGCACTTTTCACTCAGGACATGGTTTGCACTGAATGTTAGAATTTTGTCTTATTTATTAGAGTGATCTTCTATCTGTGTATTCGGGGATACCAAAATCCACACCGGTTATACTTGCGATTCCCGCCATAACTGCCCCAGACATAGAGGTTGAAGCACCAAGGGTACCTGTCGCTGGGAAAAGACCCTTACCGTCCACCAGTAAAAGTGGCCACAGCACTGCGACACATAATAATACCCAGTTGCACCAGACGAAACAAAACGGTCTTAAGGGGGATGACAAATGTGCGAGGACCGAACCTAAATCCACGGTCAGTCGATCAAACTGCGTTATCCTCTTTAACGTACAGGACTGTAGCAGTAGTCTGCTGGAAAACAGGGCCCTGTTTGATCAGGAACAGTGGTCCAACTTATGTGGCACACTGGGTCTGGACATCCAACCAGTAAAACTGTGCAGATTGTATAGGGGCACTGCAGCTCCTCAAGGCAAACCATCCCCACTGAGGGTAACACTAGGCTCTGCCGAAGATGCCGAAAAAGTTTTATTGACTTCCCAAATCCTTTCTATAGGGAGGACCTGCAATATACATGTTAGGCCAGACAGGCCATGGAAAGAAAGACAGATGGCGAGGGAGTCGCCAGAGCTTATTCCTTCTGCCTCCATGGTTGTTCACGGCATTCCCGAACTGGGAACTGGGAACGCTTGTGAGAAGCACTGTCACGATGTACAGCAGTGGAGATGGTTGGCATCCCAGATGGGTCTGGGAAGTTCAGGGGCTGTCTCTATTTTTAGACTGCCTCGACCCACTCACCTAATGTCAATTAACACTCCACGTCTGTTAGCTGTTAAGTTCAGCTCCCGAGACCACTTGACTACTGCTCTCCAGAGATGGTACGAGACCAAGGACAAGGTCAGCAGACACATTCGCTGCTGCGAGAGCCGGCCTCGTACCCAAAGGAGAGAACAAAACGTTGTCATAGAACATCTCCAACCCCTAGTCACAATACAGCGGTGCAGGACGGACGATGATAGCCAGTGTCATCCAAGTGCTCCGATTGAATCAGAAGAAAAAAACGCCAACAGGCCGGTTCCCGGGGAATCGGCCAACTAGTTCGTAGGATAACTCCTCAACCGACAGCCCACATCACGTCAACCACCCCCCAAGACGGGGACGTGGTGAGACTGACTACCAGTTGCCTGTACAGTAATGTGAGAGGTCTAAGGGGCAAAATAGCTGAACTTAGATACCTACAATCACAGCTGAACTCCAAAATCATAATACTGACGGAAACCTGGCTAACCCCTACGGTGGCAGACAGCGAAGTCAGTATAAATGATATGGTCCTTGTCAGGCGAGATAGGGATCTGAAAGAAGGAGGTGGAGTCGCAATATACGTCGACAAACAGCTCAGATGTGTCCATGCAATCGACCCTCCCCTCATTGAGCTCCCTGACTCCGTATGGTGCCATTTCACCGTTGGGTACTGTAAGTATCTAGTGGGCAGCATTTACAGATCACCTTCATGTGGAGCAGACCACAACCAGGTACTGCTGAATACAATTTCAGCGACACATGACATGGGTTATGATGAAATTGTCATAGCTGGAGACTTCAATGCCCCATCTCTTAACTTGATGACGGGATATGCCCAGGACAGATTCGATCGAAATCTGCTGCATACCATCACGGACGCCGGATTCACCGAAAATGTCAGAATGGATACTAGATGGGGCCCAGATGGGAAGTCTTCTAGACTGGATTACGTGCTCACTAGTGACCAGCTACTAGTGGAAAACGTTCAGATCACGACTCCCATAGGTAGTAGTGACCACGCGGTCATAACATTCGATACAGTCCTCCGCGAGCGTTTACAGTGGGACAATACACAGCCCTATCTGTGTTATAACAAAGCCAATTACACCGAAATGCGAAGACTTTTGTCTGAAGCAAATTGGCGAAAAAATTGGACAGAGCTTACAGTAGAAGAACACCGGAGAGCGGTAAAGGCGATCATTCACCAGGCGATCTCAGACACTGTTCCTTTGGTCACACCTAAAGCTAGAAAGCAACGTTCATGGCTAAAAAGGGGGACACAACGCCTTCTGCAGGCGAAGCGAAAAGCCTGGTTTGCGTGGCGAGTATCGAAGAGTCAACCCGAACATGAAGCGTACCTCGAACTCAGGAATCGATGTAACATACGAGTACGGAGTGATAGAAGGACATTTCAGAGAAACCTCGCCAATAAGCTTCTCGTGAACCCCAAAAGCCTATACAGGTTTATGTCTGAAAGAAAACCGACCAACCAGGGAGCTTGCAATCTAGTGGGTTCTGGTGGGAAATCTCTTACTAGTCTTGAAATGGCAGAGACATTCAGTCTAGCCTTTCACAGGCAACTGAACAGTAATGAGGATTTTACCCCCACAAAACATCAAGATTACAATGCAAGACCAACGTGCCAAAACCTGCTGGGTACATTTCAAATTACCCCGGCTATGGTACTCGTAAAATTGGGAAAGTTGGCTTCGGGAAAGTCTGCAGTTTGCGATGACATAAGACCATCCGTCCTGAAGCAGTGTTCAGAAAGTCTCTGCCGACCCCTGAGTGATCTGTTTCAACACTCCTTTGATGTATGGAAACTTCCATGTGAATGGAAACGAGCCATCCTATCCCCTATCTTCAAGGGTGGTGACCGGCAGAACGCGACCAGTTACAGACCAGTTGCGCTACTCCCAGTGATATCGATGATATTGGAAAGTCTCATTGACGACTACATGAGAAAATACTTCGACGGGACTAACCTACTCCATGAAGCACAGCACGGTTTCAGGAGGGGAAGATCCTGTGTGACGAATCTTCTACTAGCTTGGAACGATTGGACACTATCCTGGGATGTAAAGGTACCAGTCCATGTGATCTTTCTCGACTTTGCGAAAGCATTCGACACAGTTCCCCATGGTCTGCTCCTTCACAAAATAAGCAAAGCGGGTGTTTCTGGAGCACTTCTCGCATGGCTGGAAGATTATTTAGGCGAGAGAGAATTCTGCACAAAAGTCAACCGCATCCAATCATCCTGACACACCTTCGCATCAGGGGTTCCTCAGGGTTCTATCTTAGGGCCGTTGATGTTTTTGATTTTTATCAATGACCTGCCCTGTCAACTGAATTGCTCTGCGCTTCTTTACGCTGACGACGTAAAGATTTGGGGAGCAATAAACTCATCGGAAGACTCCAACAGATTGCAGGCTGACCTGCAAACGCTGGGAGACTGGGCTCTGGCTAACGGAATGCCTTTCAACTTAAAGAAGTGCAAAGTAGTGCAACTTCATTCCGGCAGGTCACAAAGTGCAAATTACACCCTTGGTGGCCAGAACTTGAGTTGTGTGCCATCAGAACGCGATCTAGGCCTTATTTTAACAGAAAAGCTAGACACCAGTGTAAATTACACGAGGGACGTCGCCAAAGCTTACGCCACTTTACACTTTATGCATAGGCAGCTGGGAGCTCTTACTCCTGAACTATTCCTAACGTTGTACATGACATACGTGAGGCCACTCCTTGAGGTGCATAATATCATTGCTCCTCCGCTACTCAAAAGGGATGCCAACAAGCTAGAAAGTGTCCAGAGACGAGCGACAAAATGCGTGATCGGCCTCCGCAACAAATCATATGAGGAGAGACTGAAGAAATTAAGTCTTTTCACACTTAGTTACCGTAGTCACAGGGGAGACCTCATCACCGTCTATAAGATCTTAAATGACCAGCCCCACCCTAATAAGAGCATCCTGCCATTAAGTGATTATAGGCTTCCACGAGGTAACCCGCTAAGGATAGCACACCAGAGACCAAGGACTCGAGTGCGTTCACATTTCTTCTCGCTTCGAGTTTGCCGTCTCTGGAACGCTTTACCGGCGGCCGTAACTACAGCTCCATCTGTGGAGACTTTTAAGCGTAAGCTGGACAATCATGCAGAAATGCATGGTTTGTGTCTCAATGGCTTACCCTCTTAAAATTTGAAACCACATTGTCAGTGGATAAGCATACAAACTAAATCCCCACGACCCGTCCTGTCTTCTCCCACTGTACCGACTACTCTATCTTTTCTTTCTTTCTTTACTATTTCACTTATCTCAACCTATATTATCTACACTACAACCTACCATTATTATTATTATCATTATTATTATTATTACTATTCTACTTTTATGACTATACCGAATGACCAACGGGTGTTAGGTCAAACTCCATTCACGGCATCAGCTGAGTCCTAACATACTGCACACTACAAACCACAATCTTGACCAATCCTCGCACCACTCCTCTGGGAGTCTACCAGAGCTAAAGCAGTCGAGTGGCGGGATTTACTACGCAGAAGTTCACCGAAGATCTGGAACCTCTACCTTACAATCAAGAAGCGAGCTCAAAGAAATCACTGGTTTATACTAGCTCGTAATCAGGATATTGGATATTGGAATCCACAAAATGAAGCGCCAAGTGTGATGTTCGCGCCTCAGATGGATCAGGCTGGGAGGTCTGATATCCTACTAAAGTTACTGCTGATAGGAGACATGAGTAAGTTACGTCACTATTGGAATAAATCTAAGTATCACTTCAGACTTCTTTTAAGAGCTCAAAAACTAATTCTGTACTGTATCACATGTGTTGTCAGCCGTGAAATCATGTTTATTTCCAATGCATTGTAATCTCGACTCTATTTTGAGAGTTGCCAACCTAAATAATTACTTTTCCGTAAATATTTTTTTGCATTGTTTTTGGTAGGTATATAGATGGCCTTGTATTCAGATAGTTCTGGTCTTATAAGTAATATTATTATTTTGCAATATTTGTTAAATTTGGGAAAGTTTGGTTAATGTACCGACATTTATTGGTACATTTATTACTGTAACTACGGGGTTTTATAATAATCTTGATATACTATGGAAGTGTCACATCTGTCTATTGTTTTTGTATGGCTACTTTTATTTTTTCGAAGTCCTCGAGTTGACATCCCTGTGTAACTTCTTCTATGGTGTTTGAATGGCGCAAACCTGCATCCTTCCATATGACGTGCTCACTTTTCACATAAAACTCGTTGACATCGGTGTGTTGCAGATAAAATGTTGATTGTTGAACATTTTCCTTCTGATTATTTCAAAGGAAAAAATAAGTCTGTACATGGTATTTGGGTCTAGGAGTAACAGTTTATAATGTTGACGTCAATATCTAATCAGTGTGATGTTCAGAACTCAAGATTATGGAGTGAGAGACATCTTGGTTGACTTACACTTATTATTATGTTATGGTGTATTGACCATATACATAAATATTTAGCCACACAAGTACCGACCGTATTTCACTCATTAAAAGTAGAATGCTGGTTGTATGAGTGTCCGACGAAAACCTATCTGAAGATATGAAGGCTTTTTTTAAGAGAGCTTTAGTGAAGTTGTTAAGGATGTTGACCTTCTAAAACACAACTAGTGTTATTAAAGTAGGCAGAATACTAATGAGATTAACTCACTATTCCTGTATTTCAAGCCTACATTTAGGTATTAAGACAGAATCATTAGACTATTGTCAAGAAAAAAAATCGTACGTAATTTGAATAAACAAACTAGTGTCATCTGAATAAATTCCCTTTGGGAACCCTTGCATCTGGTAAGTCATCACTCAGGTAGTAAATATGAGAAATCGCGGAGACGTTTCCATAGCAGTCTTCATTTATTATCAACTATTCAAAACAAAAGGACTTTTTCTGGGCTTATCTAGGTGCGTATCATTTCCATTAGTCTGACTTCCGAAAATGACCGTAGCATACCCACTTTCCTGACAAACGTCTTCCCTATGCGAAGGTAAAATACTTAGATTTTTTGGCAGTTCCTGTTGTGCTTTATTGTGTTGATGCACTTTAGAGGTGGTTAGGTGCTGGTAACATGTAAAAACCAAGTTTTTACTGAATTGTTTTTAGTTTCTAGGTGATAGCTTAATATTGTCTTGTTGTCAGAAAAATGTTACGTAGGGTCCCACATAGTGCTGCTTTAATTTTATTTAAGATATTGTAGTAAGTGAAATTAGTAAAATAGACTTGAAATGTCGAGGTCGGTATCAGTAAATGTGTCATACAATTAACATATCTCGTCACTCACTCTAATCGATCATTAGGTTAATAGCAGGAAACTAAATAAAAGTCTCTGGAATATCAAAAATAATATAGTCGCATCATAGAAATCAGCTCTATAAGGCAACCTTCCTTATTAAATGAAAAGTGTATCACATCTGAGAACCACCTTGACAGCGTTACTAACAAATACAAATGGTGTGACGCAGATTTCCGTTTGAGTATGTAGAAACTGTTAAGCATACTTAGGCAGTAGAATCCATGTTTTACGGGCATAGAAGTTTAATTGCTTTGTTTTTACTGCCATGTGGTAACATTGTATTTTCTTTCCTCCTCTGAACGGCAGTAAACGCATTCCCCCTAGAATGTATTTGGAAATTTAAAAGCAGATAAAAATGAATGCGATAACGAACTTATATCGAAGCATAACAAGTTGAATTTGGTGTAATATAATCTTCGAATAAATACATTCCTACCAATTTTATGACTTCAGTAAGTCAACTTGCCATCTTTCATATGTGTCGAACATTCACTAGTTTAATTAAGATCCGTTAGGATAGTTAAATAGCTACGAATATCCGTATTCTACAGGCGTATCACTTTTATTAACCTGCGGTCTGAGAAATATTAGCCAGCTATTCTTGTTTTATGAAGTAGGTGGCTCCATCTACAATTCCATATCAGCTTGAAATACTTTTAACGATTGAAAAGTAAGACTTTTTAGGAAATAAGCGAATTGAAATATTTTCTAATTACATTACCTTGTCCTTGTTTGTCCGGTAATCTGTTCTTATGATCCTTTAACTACCTTTATGAACAAATCATCTTCCCTTGTATAAACTAGTGACACACACATGTATTGGTCTTTGGTTTGCTGGTGCATTTCACATCTCTGTTAACTTGTAGCGGCCACTGACTTGACTTACTAGCTGAGATACTCAACTTTCAGTCAGTGGGTCCCGGGTTCGAAACCCTCCCCACCTGCCTTAGCCTGGGCAAATGGGTATTATTAACAGCCTTTACGCAACAAATGCTGCTCATAGCCTGGGACATGAAAGGACCTGTTCAGACAACTTGTGGTGCCTTTCTTTTTGCAGTTTTCTAATACGTTGGTGTATTTATAACTTGGCAAAGAATAAGGATTGAAATTTGAAGTTTTGCTTTATACGTGTTTCATTTTCAGATATATATATATATATACATACATATATATACATATATATGTATATATAGTCAGTTTTGAGAGGAGCTTAATAGTGCGTTGACAGTGGGGTAAACAGCTATTATCGGAATGAGTTCACATGTAGTGATGCACGGTTATAAGGAAGTCTGTCGTATTCAGTGTACATTATGTGCACATTAATTGAATCCTGAAGGGCGACTTAGGCCTCTGCAAGAACTGGCATGCAATCATACTCCTTTCCACGCCAAGTAAAATACTAAGTCGCATCATCCGGGAGAGAATAAAGGACGCACTGGATGCAGAAGTCTTATAGCCCAGAACAAGCTGGATTCAGGAAAGGCAAATCATGTGAGGATCAAATTGCAATTCTACACATCATCATCCAAAAGAGCATAAAATGGCAGTCGAATCTCTACCTCAACGTCATCGCTTTTGAAGAGGCCTTCGACAGTGTTGACCGAGAAGTAATTTGGAAACCACTTCAACACTATCGCGTGCAGTAGCCAAATCTTTATCAACCTCATTCAACAACCATACGACAATGCCACACGTCAAGTAAGCCACAATGGAAAACTCAGCGACACCTTTGAAGTGAAGACAGGAGTAAGACAAGCTGGCTGCCTATTATCACCGATGACATTCCTAATTGTCGTGGACTGGACTGGACTGGATTATGCGTCAGACTGTACATGGGAGTTGGAAGACACGAGTACTCTGGACCGATAAGAAGACTGTAGAACACCTGAACTTCGCGGACGATTAGTCTCTAATGTCACATAAACTCGAAGACTTACAGGTGAAAACCAACAAACTGGTTGAAGGAGCAACAAAGACAGGACTGAAGGTGAACGTAGAGAAGACAGAGGTGATGAAGATAACCAACGGACCGCAACAACGACAACAATCAGCATCAATTACCATCAATGAGAGAGATTTAACAGAGGTTACCTTCTTCACTTATCTAGTCAGCATAGTTTCAACTACAGGTGGAATGGATGAAGATGTCAATGTCAGAATCGGAAAGGTAAGGCAGACATTCATCACTCCGAAATCAGTTTGGAAATCTTCTGTACTTAGCCTGAACATCAGGATTCTGATTTCCAAACCAATGTCGAGTTGGTTAGTTCTTTTTTTGTGTCAGAATTTTGGTTGTATCGGGGAATGCATTTCGAACAGGCAGCTAGATACGTTTATCTAAGGCTTCGTTCGCTCCATGCTGAAGATCAGATGGCCATCGAGAAACGATTTGCAAGAAGGAACTCTGGGAAGAAACTAACCAAGAAATTTTCGCTCAAAAAATACGTGGAAGAAATTGTGGATTAAGCGCATGCTGAGGAGATAGTAGAATAACATCTTACAGCAGGCCGTCTAGTGGAAGTCGAATGGGAAACGAATGGTTCCTCCTAAGGTGGAGATCGTGTGTGGAGAAGAGAGATTTTAGACAGTTGTGGCACCGGCTACAGTGGACCGCAGATTATAAGACAAAGTGGAGAAATATTGTTGAAGCCGTATGTCCCACACGGAAAACAAGGGAACATATATATATATATATATATATATATATATATATTTGCATAAGGCATTGAGAAGAGAAATTTTGCTAGATGTCATTTCGTAGTTTCTCTGCAATCGCTTTACAACTAGCATGGTTCACAATAATAGGATAAAATTCATGACAATTACTCAGTGATATAAAACAAAAGTAAATATTAATGACCAATCATGTATAAATAGGTCAAGTAGTCCATGGTAGGCGAAGGTTGAAGCTTGTTTTATTTTGTATACATAGTTATGGATGCGTGTGATTAACTCAAAGTGCTTCCATGGTAGTTGTGAGGCGATTGCAGAGAGACTACGAAATGATATCTCGCAAAATTTGTCTTCTGAATGCCTTATTCAAATTTATCAAATGGACTAATTGTTTTTATATAAATATATAATCTGATATTCCATTATGGGTAAATTTTATTTTGATAGAGTCCTACAGTGTTATCCATAATCGAATTACACTTTACCACAGTGCCCAAGTTTTATTCTTATATCGATAATCTGATATTGTATACTTTTGCTTATCCTGTTAAATCCTCATTTTACTTTTAGACGTTGGAAAAAGCAGTCTTCTGTTCCGGTATATTGATGACGGCTTTAGTGACACCTATATGAGTACTATTGGAGTAGATTTTAAGGTCAAAACAGTCATGGTTGGGAATACAAGAGTTAAACTACAAATCTGGGACACAGCTGGACAGGAAAGATTTCGCACTATCACTTCAACGTATGCTTTTGTTAAAAATAAAGTTTAACTCATAGTAAATTAATAGATATTATCGTGGTGCTCATGGAATTATCATTGTATATGATGTGAATGATGTAAGAACTTTTTGTAACGTTGAAAAGTGGGTACAAGAGGCACAAACATATGCAGATGAAGGCGTAGCAAGAATATTAGGTGAGTGATATTTGTTTATCATTCCTCTTTCTTCTAATTCGACATTGTACTACTTTTCAAAGTATATGCACAATTTGCAATAAATCTACTAAGATTCGATGTACTAGTTATTTTCAAGATTTACTAAATAATGTATTCTGAAAATAAGCATTCTGACAATAAAAGCAGGTGCAACTCTACTGACTATACCGAAGTATTTTAATTTTTGATTTATCCGATATGTCCATAATTGTTTTGTTATGAGCCTCTCAATGTACATTGGCAACAGTGTATGTATCATGGGAATTCATTTGTGGTAGTGATGAGAAACGTTGTAAATATTAATAACTAGACTGACGAGCATAATTAATTTTAGTTGATTTACATCTGTTTTGTAAATGTTGTCTATATTATAAACTTTTTGGGAAGGTAAAACAGGCGGCGGGGGAATTCAGCGATTGGGCCACACGATTATTAACCATGTTCATGGACAGCCAGGCATCACATCTTATATGTAATTTGCATCCGATGAACCAATATCATTAAAAAGTTTCAGCATTGTGGAATAGATCAAATAAAATATTATGATCTCTATTATATTCAGCTCAGGCTAACATTAAAATGCATACAGTACAAATGCTATATAAGATAGGCGTTAACTACAGCAACATCTCAAAGTTGGTCAAACATTTGACCAGATTAACTTGTATCTTTTATATGAGTCTTAGTTATGTTGTAGTTCTTAAATAAGCCTCTCAATACACAAAAGACTGAGGCAAAGTAGTTTCGGAATATATGATTAAGGAGAGCCAACTATACTCAGTGGCGTATAAACCAATGATCGAGTGGGTTAAGCACAGTGACATTTCGTAAATATTGAGACTTCTTCGTTTTCCATTTATGAGAAAAATTATTTTATGTATGGTTCTTAAGCCGTCTTCTATCCTTGTACTGTACCAATTCATATTTAGTGTGGTTTTTATCATTCATACTTACATGGTACAAATCCATTAAAATATATTCTTCTTCTAAATGGTAATGTTATATGTCTTACACTCAGTCTAATGTTGCGACGGCTCCAGAGGTGGCTCAAGTCGACTTATGCCACTCTAGCTTCCATGATACATTTGGAAATCTCATCCGTCACGCCTCCGCTAACACTCACAAAACTACTCAGATACAAGAACTTATCGACAACTTCAAGCGGTTCACCTACCAGAGTGATTGCAGGTACAGGCTCCTGCCAATCTTGTAATAGTACTTTGCACTTAGACGACGCAAAGCATATACCTACTTACAGGTATTGATAAAGTGCGATTTGGACAGCCTGCATGCTATTACACAGTAAGGCGATATCGTTGGCGTACTCGAGGTCGAAAAATCTATCTCCAGGTAGCAGATCTACACCACCTTCACGCACATCCTTCAGAGCTGACTCCAGAATGTCATCTATGGCAAAGTCAAAAAGGAGTGGGGAGACTGGACAACACTGTCCAACCCCACTGTTGATTGGGAACAGTGATGATAGTTGGTTGTATGCCCACACTCTACCTGAGTTGTTTCTGTATAGGTCTTTCAGGATGTTCCCAACTTTTCACGTGCACCTCTGTCTAATAGACAGTTCCAGAATACAGTTCTATCCAACGAGTTGAAGGCAACCCTGATATCAAGAAACACGACGATTGTTGGCCTGCAATACGTGTGATGGTGTTCCAACAACTGATGAAGGGTGAACACATGACCAGTGCATCCACAGCCTGAACGAAACCCAGCTTGCTCTTCACGAATCATTCCCTCACTTGTTTTGCACAGCCTGTGAAACAGGACAGCAGCCAATTTTTTAGACGCAATTGGTAGCAGACTGATACTCCTATGGTTGGCACTGTGTTACGTCGACTCTTTTTAAAGATGGGGACAATTATGGCTTTATTCCACACTTATGGTACATCCCCAGTCTCCCATACTTTCCTGAATAATTCAGTTAAACCCATGATGAGTGGTCTCGCCACCATCTTTAAAATGAACCGGGGATAGATTGTCTGGGCCGGGTGCCTTATGGCGTTTCAGTACTTGGAGTTCCTTCCGGACCTGCTTTTCGATTGGTGGACTGGTACTGACCGACCAAGAGGCACTGGAGCTAGTGGCGAGCTGAACTGCTTCTCGAAGTGCTCTGCCAGCGTTCCAGGTGCTTTTTCAGGCTGCTGATTGGCGTGCCACCTGTCTCACAGACTGTCTCGTTAATACCTTGTTCCTTGCTGCTAGTGGCTGCCATCAACTGGAAGAGCTTCTGACTGTAGCCAGATGCAGCAGCTGACTTTATCTCACACGCACGTTCTGACCATCAGGCTTCGCGGTCCTTACGTAAAAACTGTCTAATCTTGCATGCAAGTGCCTTTCGCATATTGCTGTATTCGTTGCCAGCCGTAGTGGACCAGCGTTCATCCAGGATTTGCAAGGAACTCGCAGAGACCTAGTGGTTTTTAGCAAAGTATTCTTTTAAGCTGCAAGCGGCTACACTCACCATTTCCATGACACCTTACAGATGAAGCCACTGTTCATCTATAGTACTTCGGGGGTTCCTAGCAAGCACTGACTCTAACTCATTCTGGTATTTCAAAGAGGTAGCAGGTGCTACCAGTTTGCTCATAGTGGTTAGGACTCTCGCCGACCATGCACATGGTCCGGAGTTCGATCCCCTGCCGGCGCACACCCGATATCTATGGTATGCCTGAATTTGGGCAACCATGCTGAAAATTCCATACTTGTACTGAAAATACGGTGTGGAATCAAGCTGTAAATCACAAAAAAAAAACACATTCAGATGACGCCATTTTTGAACTCCAACAAATCCCAAGACACAATCGGAGTCCAGGCGTGTGCTCCAGAAGGGGCGGCAGTCTTGCACGCATCCTCGCCACCGGAAACTGACACAGATATGATCAGTTTGAATCCAAGCTTGATTCGCAGAGGGACGGCGCCAGGTAGCATTACGGCGATGGCTATGCTGGAAGTTTAGGCTGGCTAGAAATAGCTCCATTATGGATAAGATTTTATTTTGATAAGTGTTACACAGTAATATTAACTGATGACGTTACGAGCACAAATTATTGCTCATAATCATATCAAGTTACTCACACAACTTTTTCCTTCATTTATATACATGTGTGGAATCGACTAGATATTTAAATAAAAACCAATATAGGACAGTGTGCATTCAGAAATGATAATATGAGTGTTATTGATCAATTACAATCAAATGGGAAATAAGACGAGTGTTTTTATAATCATAATAAGTAACTTGTTAGAATGTTGTGATGTACTTGATTTGAAATAGAATTTTGAGATTATTTATTATCCTCCTCTGATTTGACTGGCAGTAATAATATCTTCCATATATCTGGTATTTGCATTGAGTCATTTCTGTTGCAGAGACAAGCTCTGTATGCTAAAAGACCCGGTGGACCCAATTAAACAAAATAATATAATTTACAATGACTATGAGGTCAACTATATAGGTCAGACTAGTAGATGGGTGTAATCAGATTGTTGGAACATAAGAATTTAGCTAAGGTAAGAATAGTTGACCCTGAGAAGATAAGTAATTTAGAATAAAGCTCAGCAATTGCACTACATGCATTAACCCACAACCACACAATAGGGTGGGAGAGGGTTAAAATTCTAAGAAGTAACATAAGTGGAGAGAGAGATTGACTACTGAATCCTGGTTGATTGAGTCGACACCCAACACATGCAACAGAAATGACTCAGTGCAAATACCAGATATATGGAAGATATTATTACTGCCAGTCAAATCAGAGGAGGATAATAGATGATCTCAAGATTCTATTTCAAATCAAGTACATCACAACATTCTAACAAGTTACTTATTATGATTATAAAAACACTCGTCTTATTTCCCATTTGATTGTAATTGATCAATAACACTCATATTATCATTTCTGAATGCACACTGTCCTATATTGGTTTTTATTTAAATATCTAGTCGATTCCACACATGTATATAAATGAAGGAAAAAGTTGTGTGAGTAACTTGATATGATTATGAGCAATAATTTGTGCTCGTAACGTCATCAGTTAATATTACTGTGTAACACTTATCAAAATAAAATCTTATCCATAATGGAGCTATACTCTCCCACAGTGCCCACGTTTTATACTTATATCAATAATAGCTAGAAATAGTTTATGATCTGCGCAAATCTGCAGATGGTCCCCATTATCTGACCTTCGACCATGCAAATCCCACTGACTACCTGAACGATTCTCCTCTGGTCCTAGACACCCGACCTGTGTATTCAGGTCCCTCTGACGCACCTGTTCCAGCAGACCGCTCAGTTGGTAGTAGAACTCATCCTTAATTGCATCCGGGCTGCAGTCCGTCGGTGCATAAGAAGAACCAAAAATAGGAACCTTCTATCTGGCCTGCCACTTCTTACTTCGTATAACCTTCCAGCCTCATGGCACATAGGCGACTGTCGAGTAGTGCAGCTCAGGGTTTAGCGCTTAGTGCAACACTGAAACGGAGTCCCCAGACAAGCGCAGGTGGTACATACTATTCTATCCTTCAAATAGACAAGATAGTCGAAGCACTTCACTGGGATCTTGAATGTGGTTCAGCGAAATGCAGCAGACTTCGGTAGAGAGAGGTTTTCCAATGTTCTTACTAAATCTGCCTGTTGTCCGATTTGTATCAGTGGCCAGCTTGAACGCGACACGTGGTAGATGCTGCACTGGAGACCACATTTTGAAGGCTATTTACTGATATCTCGAAACGGCACAGATGGGCTGAGAATCTGGACAAAGGTGAAAGGGTAGACAACAAGGATAACGAAGGTATAACACAAAAATAGGGTTAAAAAGAAATGCATCACTTGAAATATCGTTAATGTACAAGAGCGTTGTAATGAGCATGCGAATAGTTTTGCCGGCAGTTCGTTATTTCATTCCATTGATTGTGTGACGGCTGATATACTACCCGGGCGTCCAGACCGAAGCAGGTGGTTGTCTTAAAGGACCACCTCCGAACCTTAGACTTGGAGTCTAATTCTCCAGGTGGTCGGGCAGCGTCAGGATCTACGTTTCCACGACTGCCGGCTCACACGCCATTTGATCCGATTGGATTCTAGAGCCCACGTACCCCATAGTAACTACTTTTAATCTAAACGCTTTCCAAACAACCTTCCTGACATGATAGGACCTGCAGGAGCATAAGCGCCAGCCAGTGTAGCTTGTTTGTTCACTGTGGTATTCAAGCCCGACCACCACGACATAGGTAGCAGTTGTCGGCCACAAACATACAAGTTATATTCATCGTGCTCAATCAACCATTCAATAACCAAAACACACATCATCATCATGACCATCATAAGCACCAGTAGTAACCACACACGCACGCTAATCACCAGGAAAAGAAGAAAAGAAAATAACTAAACAACGCACTCACAAAAGCAAACACTAAAGTTCACACACGCACGAAACCCAACTACCACACCATCAGTTCATCTGCACGCATATATTACAATTATCAGATTAAATCTTTCTGCACTGTCAACTCTCCATGAATCCTCTGACTGCTGAGGTGAACTATGTAGAAAGGTGTAGTCTACTTAGCTGGAATCCTCGAAACCCTAAGAACCAATGCTTAGATACCGTTTATGACAGCTCAGAATCCGTCTACGTAGCACACATACATTATCTCTCTATGGTCTTCAGCATCGATTAGGTTCTCACTATCCTCCATTTACTTATTCGTGTTATCGTAAATTTCGGTTTATTATAAGTTTATTTGCAATTCTTTCCTCTACCTTTATGCTTGTGATTTTATGAAGTGTGACTGCTGAAAGATAAGTCAGTCAGTTCATTGTGTAAAAGTTTGGTCATATCTTCTAATTGTATTTATCATTGTAATAGCGATGTATTTTTGCCTTTCTTATCACTTTCCCATTAATTATGTCAACTGGCGTTTATCTTGTTTTAAAATAGTTGGTAATAAAAATGAAAGTGAAGAACTAAAGACTGTAGCTACTTATGATGCCCAACGGTTAGCAGCTAAGAATTCGTGTTTTTTCATTGAAACATCTGCCAAAAATGATGAAAATGTTGACCAGGTATAGTGATCTAATGTTTTTTTCAGATATTCGTTTATTAAGAGAAGGCAGTTGTTTTTGTTATTCAAATTTTTGGGTTACAATTTTCCTTAGTTTCTTTTAGTGTAATATTTGATGCTAGAAGAGTGCTATTTTTTAATAGTTGATTGTTGTTTAGGCTTTTATTGATTAGTCATGTGACGATGCACTATGTACAATCAGTCTAAAATGTGTGCATTTCTAGAAGATGAAAAACACCTATGGTTTATGGAATTCTACTCAGAAATAATGATAATGGTGTTTATAATGCATTGAGGATGTCAATATTAATCATTCGTGTTAAGTGGAAAGATATTTCAACCTGAAACTACTCATCTTGGTAGCCGGTCATCTGAGCAAATGGATCATAAACCCTAGACCAGTGTGAAAAATAAATGTATTTATCCTAGAATAAAGTAATTTAGCAAAGGGGATATACTTTTCATTGGGATTTGGGTTACAAAATTGGTTTTTTATTGTTCCTTGAATTCACTTACCTGTAACAGACTTATCATGTATACCAGGTCATGAGCAACGGTTATTATGGGAGGTTTACCTGTGCTGAAGTACTCTACATGGGATTCAAACCCAGAACTCATTGCTTGAAAGGGTTTCAGCCAATGAATTAGTCACGCATCTGCACAATAACTTTTTCACCTTAAAAGTTTTGAATGACAGTCTTATGAAATGGAACATCTGCAAATACTACTCAGTCTTTGTGATTTGTTTTTCTGTTTCAATCTGGCATTCCTAACGACTAAGAAAACGTTAAGCCTGTAGAGTAAGTGAAATTCAATTCCCTATACTTGAAAGCTCCATTTTTGAATCAGTCAATTTTTAATGCGTTTAGAAGTGATTATTGAATATGTTAAAGCGTATAGACGTTGTAACCACTGCTGCCAGTTCCCTTTTGTTTTTTACTTATATTAAAACTTGACCAAAGTTAAGTAGGATGCGTATAGTGACTCACTATACTTTTTTGATTTATTTCCAGTTATTAACCTTCCAGAATACATATTTGCCTAGACCTTGGTTTCATGCCTATTGGCACTCGTCAGCAAGGCATATCTGATGTCTCGTCGGAGATCCATAATCATACCACCCAGCGTTACAGTCAGATACATTACCACTGGGCTATTCAGGCTCAAGATTGCCCTTCCGTAGAACTGTGGTTGTTAAATTGATTAGTCACTTGCCTAGTCCTAATTGTTGGTACCGACTGAATTTTACCAGTTGACTTGCAACACCGTTACTAATGTAGGGGACTCGTCATTGAATCTCAGAGGGAACATCAATCCGTTCGAGGTTGGAGGTACTCCTTGCAGACGAGTATCAGTAAGCAACTAGTTGCATGGCTTCCTGCCGATAGCCACCAATCATCTAACACTAATTCACCTCGAAAGCAAGTCTCCTAAACTGGAGTTCAGTGTGCATCAACATTCAGTACTAAACACACGATATCTGCAGTGATCAATCGATGTATACTCTCTGAGGTATTTTTGGTAAATAACACCACTATCGTGATCTTCGTAATATTATATTTCAAAAGGACTTTTTTCATACTTTTTCAGATGTTCGACATTATTACAAGAGAAGCACTTCGTTTAAGATTGAATGCTATTCAAAAGCAACAAGAAGCTCAACAAACAGTTGTCCAACTGACTCCTATCTCTGGACTCAAAACAAAACAAAAATTAAAATGCTGTAAAGGCTAATTGATTTCATCATCTGACCAAGCACGGCCAATTATTTAAAAAAATGATTATCGTCATAATGAAACTGCAAACAAATCAGAAAAATACCATTTTCCTCAAAGCTGCTTATTGTAAATAATATCAAATTGATATGATAGAAAAAAAAGATGGAAGAGGTAGAGGAAGAGAAAGAAAGAATGTAATATGCTGTGTCTCATTTCTTTCATTTTTTGTCTTTTGATCTTTTCTGATTTGTAGTAATTTTCATGAATTTATGTATGCATATATTTCCTTGTGTATCTCAGCTGATTTTGCTTTTGAAAAAACAGGGAAACTCGCAACGATTTTGAAAAAACAGAATCTCTTTTTCGTTTCTGTGATCTCTAATTTACGTGGTTTCACCACTTTATTATTATTGTTAATTACTTTTATTATTCTTTTATTAAGCTAATCGACTACAGTGTATGCATATATATATATGCGTATTATGTAACTCGATGCATATATGTTTACAGTAGCAATTTGCCAAGGTGTTGTTATCAGCCAATATCTTGCACCATAATATATATATGCCCTCTTTTTTGATGCTTGATTTAAGAAAAAATTAACTAGCTAATTTTTCATTGAATAATATATCTTGATTATGTTAAAAGAAGATGCACACGATTTTGATTATTATTATCATTATTATTGCTAGTGATTCATTCATTTGTGCCTTTATATTTTATCTTTCTTCTACTTTCCGTGTCTTTGTGCTTTTTACCTTTTTGTTTTTCTACTTTAGTGATCATCATGCGACATTCAATACTATTAATCAAAAAGAAATCAGTGATTTACAGTATATGTATAGATATATGCATTTCCCTTGAATTTTCACTATTTTTTATGATTTGGGTTTCTTGTTTTTTTCATTTTTATCTTTTTAATTTGGTTATCTTGTCAAATAAAGGCATGTTTGATTGACTGAATTGAATTTTCAATGTTGCGCTATGCACTATGTGTGTGTGTGTGTGTGTGACAGTTCAAGTTGTCGCAGTTCATAAAACAGCTTACACACACAAAAGTAGAGAGGAAAGAGGAAGGATAATTGCCTGGAGAATAGTAAGGATTTAATAAATCTGAGAGATCACAGACAATGAAGCCATCTGTGTCATTGAGAAGGATTTCGAGCCATTATTTCTTTTTAATGTCTCGAGAACCCTAGCTGGGCAGTCATCACTGCCCTAATTGATTCAACCCAACAATCGCAGACATTATGGACTGGTGCCATATTTCCGGTTTGATCACTCTTATCCTATCTAATTCTATATCAGGGGACATTGCTCGAAAACGATTGTTTGGAATGTGTAACATTTGTTCTAGCCGTCTCAACTTATGCAGCTTCACAACCTCATCGATTGACTTTCCTTATCTACCTAAAGTTCTACTTCTGGCCTCAATCATTATTACTGACCACAGTATACTGACTAACACGAGAGGCTAGAAGGCGCAAACTTATCGTTAAAGACGGCTATCTTGTGGTTCCAACGATCATGTCTCACAACCGTAAAGAAGTATGGATCGAACTACCCAGTACACACATCCTTTGGTTAATAGCCAAATATCACGCCGACACTAAACAGGACACAAAAATGTCTTTTTATCCTTGCTGAAGGATAATTTGCTAGGTCATAGGTCAGCTACAAATCTATCGTGTTTCATGGTTAGGAGGTAATTATCTAATTACTTTTACTGCTGCTGGAATTCGTGGTCGTCATTAGGAATCGGGTAACTGGGTTTTTAAATGGTTTATTTTTGACACTAGTCATAGTAGGATTAAATTTACTAATTAATTTACAATCCATTATAGAACATACTAATCATCTGAAAGCAGAGTTTGCTAACTAGGCTGAGATATATTCAATTGTTCATATTTAAGCTAGTCGTAATTTTGGGGCACTTTTAGAGATGAGTTTTCTTAAAAACTCCTATTCAATTAGATTATCCTGACCGATAGCAGCTCCCTTGACGTGGTGGTCCGGTTTGCATGTCCCAATGACCCAACAAGCTACACTGGCTGAAACTATTGTTCCTCCAGGTCCTACCATGTCAGGAAGATTGTTAGGATAGCAATTAGACTAAAAGCAGTTACCGGCATAGTGTAAGACTTTTTCACACCATGCTGGACGTCTGTGCGCGAAGTCGTACTGCTGAGGAATAGGGATGTAACAGCAGTAAGGTGTTTCCTTCAGATGACCACTATGCCAGCTATGCTGTCTCTCTACTCTCGAGAGGGGTTTGAAAATTCTACATCCCGGACTTACCCTACTGTGGTCCGTAACCGGCGGTAAATTTACTAAAACGGAACCAATCCAAGAAACCAGTTCATACAGGCCGTGTGTAACCGGTGTCAAGCAGTTGTCTCCTGGGCTCTGTGGTCACGCAACACTAACCCTCTTTTTATTTCAGATACCCCAAGTATAAATCAACTCCCACGGTGTGAGCAGCCGGGAAGTAACAACCACCCACACACTCCCAAAGCACACAAAACCCTCCTGATCATCCTCCTCCATTATCCACGTCACCCTCACCATCATTCCCACCTACTACAGTTAGTACTATCCTTCAGACTAGTGAGTCATCTTCACTTCACTCTGTGACCACAAACAACGATGAGATCCATAGAAACACTCCCGACAGCCTCTTAAAGCCACGTCGCCAACATCATATAGGAGCTTTCAACGTCAGGACCCTCTGTCAAATGAGACAACAGGCATCACTAGCCAGAACTCTGCCATTTCGAGCCATGGATGTATGTTGTGTTTCGGAGACACGCATACAAGACCCGAGTGTGATCATTCACTTAAGCTCACTCGGCCAACAAAGTGAATCTGCAAAATTCACCCTAAGGCTGTCAGGAGACCCCTCAGCTAGTTCGCGAGGACTTCCTGGTGTAGGGATAGAATTGAGTGTTAGGGCAGAAAAATCACTTCTCGACTGGATCCCAGTGAATAGTCATATGTGTGCAGTCCGTCTGAACGGGTCCGTTAGGAGAAAGAAGGACGGCGTTACCCATAGTTGTCTTTACACAGTCTCCGCTTACGCCCCAATCCACTGCATTTCAGATGAACTAAAGGATGGTTTCTACCAGAAACTGTCTAGTTTGCTGCAAAAAGCAAACCGCCCAGATATTGTTGTTTTAGCAGACCACTTTAATGCCCAAGTAAGGAAGTTATACCAGACTGAGAGGTATGTAGGTGGTACGTATAGAGTTTATTTCTGTTTATTATCTATATTTACTCTGCTCTCTTGCTTTCTGTGCTACATGGAGTGTGGCAACTCGAACTGCTTCAAACGTGTGGAAAGGTCTACATTGAAACCAGTCAGTCAGATCATGAAATTGAAAAAAACATATCATTTTCTGTATTCCTGTTTCACTCGAAGGAACCTTATACTGGCTGGCGTAAAACCCTTAGTTTGCAAACTACATTCATAGCGTGTGCTACTCACAAGAGTTCGTAAATTGTATATTGTGCGACATCATTTTGCGTAAATTTTAAACAATATTCATGGATTAACCTGCAGGTAAATAAAGTGAGGAAAATTGTGAATCTACATGAATAGCATGAAATGAAGCTAAAAGTAACATGATGTGAATATTATGTGCATGTTGGTGTTTCAATATCATCACTCCACTTAATGACACCAGATAGCTCCATTACAATGGGACTAAGTCACTATAAATATTATGTGTTTAGTCTAATAGTTTTTAAAATGAATATGATGATTCATTTGTTCTAGTGTCGTCTAAGAGATACAAAATAAAATTTGGTTTGGTAGCTAAGGTGATGATCGCATCACATCTGAAAAAAAACACTAGTTCAATCAGAAGCTCTATAATTCAACACCTTGTTATCACTTGTCACAATTTCTTAACTGACTTATAGTCACTTGAAAAATTAACAAAAATCCGTCGAAAGTAGTATGCCTCCTACTTGTTTGTAGTGTAGAAGCTCTCACCGTATGCATGGAGAAGTCGGAGTTATGTGTTCAAAAGAAGCTCATCCACCCTACCTCTTCACCTACCATGGATCTAGTTTTGTTTGGTCTCCCTTCCTTTGGGTTTTGTTCATTTGTCTGCTTCAGTTTTTTGTCATTTTCAGTTATGATATTTTTCATTCTGTTCCTATGCACATCTTAATCATACCATTTTTTTTCGCTAAAAACTATTTTATACATTATCCAACTATATTCGTGGTCCTGTATTATTTTTGGTTTCTATACTCCTATTGAGTTATATTCATCTCTTTTCATACTTCTAAGTATTCATATTAAATTGAGGAAGCATTATTATCTTTACAGCTCATCTTTGTCACTATATTGAATTAAACAGTACTTGTAACTGCGCTAAATTCTGTTATCTCCCTAGTTTTATTGCCAAATGTTTTCATCGCATTAGAAGTATCTAATAGCAATACCTTCCATCTACATCACTGTAGTAGACGTATTCTTGAAATTACTGAAATGACATATCTAGTATAGAAGAAACAAGTCAGTTGGTTAGAGAGAACCATTATTATTCGTTTGTATATTTGAAGTGAAAATAAACAGATAATATAAGAAATAAGTATGCCGGCCAAATGTAAATGAATCGAAAACAAAAATCGCTAGTTTTGTGCTAGGCTATAAAATGCACAGATTAATTATTGAAAGTGATAATTAATACACCAAATGTGTAGTTAGATTGCCTAGTATAAATATAGTGTGTGCATATCAAACGCTTACTGGTTTCAATGCAACAGAAACTATACAACAAATCTATGATAATTTGACTTTTATTTCTACACTGGTCTTTTATGCCAAGGTGATGGATGGATGAGTCATTACAGTAATTAGATGTACAAACCAATTGGTTAGATGCTACAGATTTATCTTTTAGCCTTGTTTACATATTAGTTAAACACAGATGTGTAGATATTAATGTTGACTAATCCTATCCAGTTAATAATTCATGCATTTATATTATGAACTAGTAATGAGATCATCTGAAGAAAATTTACTCACAAAAAAGGGAATTAAAAGCGGCTGATTGTATCAGTTAAGTTGTCAGATCACTCTAAAGACAGGATTCTGAGTGGACTAGTATTTGGATAAATGTGTTCTAATGTATTTGAATAGCTTATCGACATATGTTATACCATCAGTCAACAAAAACGTATTGGTGAAGTTAAACAGTACTGATGGATTCGTAAGCACGAATAACTTTGAAACATCCAATAAGAGTTACTGAAGGTAATACCGTGGTGGTATGATACAGACAATGTGTTCCAACAGAATATTATTCTCACTATAAGAATCATTGTATTTGTTGGTTTTAACGTCTGAATACTATTCTCACAGTTCAATAATACATTAGCAGCATATATATATACTTCAGTGTCTTGTTTACTGCTGTTACAATAGTACAGTTATAACGAAGGAATTGATTTTATTTTTATC